CTCCCCTGGGTCATTCTGTTCTGTTAATCATTAGAAAGAGGAGCCCAGACTTGCCCTCCTCTGGGAGGAGGGACAGCCTCACCTCTGCCCACCCTGCCAACAGGGCCTGGGCCAGCTCCACTGGGGCAGGGAAGGTTCTCGTCAGCACAGCAGAGGCCCGGGGGAAACAGCGGGGCACAGGGTGCAGGAGAATCAGGGCCACACCTCACCCGTGGGAGCCTCATAGCACAGGCCCCTGCCCCATGCTGTTCCCCAGCTACACCTATCAGCATCTCTGAAAAACCAGATGAGGCCAAGGGCTTGGGGCCTCAAGGCAGAAATCCAAGGGCTTCAGCTCCCTGAGAAGGTGTCCCACGTTCACCAATGTCTCAACTGCTCAGCCAACCAACAGGTATTTATTGACCTATCTATTCTCCTTGTCCAATATCAGACTGGGCACAATGGCGGAAGATAGGAGTAACATGAAAGAACTAGTGAAAAGTACCCTACGAAATACAACTGAGTGCTTCATCTAAAAATACTAACAGTAAGGGCAAAGGGGTGCAGAGAAGGGGAGAGGTCAGCGTGAACTGGAGGAATACTAGAAGCCATGGACTCCAGGGGTGCCTGTGTGGCTCAGTCGGTTAAGCGTCTGACTTCAGCTCAGGTCATGATCTCGTGGTTTGTGGGTTCGAGCCCAGCATCAGGCTCTGTGTGGACAGCTAAGAGCCTGGAGCCTGTTACGGATTCTGTGTCTCCCTCTCATTCTGCCCCTCCCCCACTCATACTCTGTCTCTCTCTGTCTCAAAAATAAATAAACTAAAAAAAGAAGCCATGGACTCCATCCTGGAGAATGTATAAAGGAAAACACAGTCGGGGGGAAAAGGGGTGCAGCAAATCTAAAGGGGGACTGGTCCCTTTTAGAGGGGCTTCCTCTTAGAGAGTGGCAATAAAACAGGGTGGGGTGACTGTGAGGTCCCAATGGGAGCTGACGCCTTGAGAAACAGCCAGAGCATTTCTGGCACAGATGAGGGAGATGATGGGGAGCCATTGAAGGTTGTATAGCAGGGCCCAGTTAGGATTCAAGCAGAACTTAAACCTTAAAAGGATTAGTAAGGAAGTGACTGTGTGACAGGACAGACAGAAAAAGACAGCTTCCCACCTCGGTCTCAGGAAAGAAGCACATGTCTCATCTTCCTCACCCACTTGTTTTAAATTTCATTCATTTTGTGATAGTCTAAGCCTTCTTAAAAAAAAAAAAATGGGGGAGGAGAGGAAAGCCTGGGAGGTAGGTAATCTCAGACAGAAAAGGAAAGAGTAAACCTCACTCAGTAACTAGACTGACAAGGATGTCGTGGCAAAAGGAAATTCAACAGAGAGACTGTTTTGAGGAAAGCAGGGCCCCCAGGTTGGGGCATGTGGACCAGGGCAGGGGCAGACTGGGGTGTGGTGGGAGCCCCAAGACAAGACACATAGTCCTCAAGCCCCACATCCTGTGTTTCACTCCCAACTTCCATTCCTGATCCTGAAAAGGCCATGCTGCCTTGTGCCTCAGAACCTTTGCACATGCTGTACACCTCCTTCTGCAATGCCTTTTTTCCCCTTCCCTAAATTCTAGTCCATTCTTTAGAAGCCAAAAGCTACCTCTTGCTGATGCGTGGATGATCTGGGCAGAACTGCTCTAAGCCCCTTGGGCAATGCTCTTCCTGAGGTGCCCTGAACCCCTGTCCTATCTTGGGGTAACTAGGAATCTTCTTGGCTTCCAGTAGCCCCAGTATCTTACACAGTGCTCAGTTCTGGTAGCTCAATAATGGTGCCCTGTGGGAAATTTTAAAGAGCAGGTGTCACATTCTGAGGTTAAGAATAGCTGGCTGAGCCTTCAAGTGACACTGCCTAGGAAACAGTGGAACTGTGTTTTAGGAGGGCACGTAGTAGGATCTAGGAGAGCACATAGGGGGCAAGTGGATCAAGTCTGGTGGGAGGAAGGGGCGGGCAGAGATCTGGGGATGCCACAGTTAAGGGACAGAGGAGAATGCCAAGCGGATGCAGTTGGAGGAAACGAGGAAGGATCTCATGGCCAAGGTCAGGCAGGCCTTTGGGAGACAGGATCAGAAGAAAGGGTCGGATGCCAGAGAACTAGGATGAGGAGGGCTTCTTTACCCCCCAGGGAAGCCTCTGGGAAGCCAGGCCTGCTGGTGACAGTTACTACTCTTTCATCTGAAGGGAACCTGGCAGTCTTGAGGGCTACCTGTGTTTCCCCAACATTCTTATTGCCTGCAGCTAGCTCTCCTCTGGACCCCTGGCAGAGCCCATGGGGGGCGGGGACGGTGCTGGGGCCAGGCCTCTGGGGGCAGGAGGAAGCCTGAACGGGGCCCGAGCTTGTGGCCAGCACCTAATAAGGGCAACCCCGGCCCCCTAGTTTGAGAATGAGGGGATCAGCGGTTCTAACACCTGTACCAGCAATCACAGAATTCTTTACTCACCTTTAGTTATAGAATATGAGTAAGGAACAATTCAACTGGCAGAAAAATTTTTTTTAACTTTTTTTTTTTCCCCAAAACTCTATGCCCGATGTAGAGCTTGAACTCAAGACCCTGAGATCAAGAGTCAGGTGCACTATCAACTGAGCCAGCCAGGTGCCCAGCAAATACACTTTTGGGGCAGTCTCTGCATCACAAACCGCACCTACCTGAAACATTTTGAATTAAATCAACTTTTTAGTTTTTCTGTAAATGCTCATTTTATTGGCTGGGGGTGGGGAAGCAGATGCCAAAGGTTTAAGATTTACTAGAAAAGCTTTTGATGATGGTTGAAGCTGGGCGACAGGGGTTCAGGACACTGCTCTACTTCTGCGTCTGTTACAGGGCATCTATGATGAAGTCTTTTGAAATTGTAGTGGAACACTTAAAATGGAGAATATACACCTATTTATCTTCATGTTTCCTGCAAGCTGAGAAAAGATTCCCCTTTTTTATTGCAACGGAGGGCAGCCCTCCATACTGCTTCTTCGAGGGAGCAGTTTGAGGGCCACAATTTATAAAAATTTATAAAAAAATTTACTAGATGAGAAAGTCATCATGTCCAAGCTTCTGGCCCTAGAGCAGAAAAAAGCAAAGCCCCCCCCCCCCCCGCTGGCCCCAGGGGACTGATTAGTGGGCACCTGACCAGATGGGAAATACAGCCCAAATTCCTGAGTTTCCAGACCAAAGACCACACTGCATGCTCAGAGTCAAGTGCTTCTCTTCCCCCAGACCTTGGACAGGCTGCCCCTTTTCCAGGCTCTTCCCAGAGAGCAATTTCTGCCTTCCTGGATCCCAAAGGAACTGGAAACAATCGAGCAGCCAAACCCCTACCTTGTTCTGAACCCCTTTCAGAGCAGCTCTCACACAGCGTGAATGGGACAACGCCTTCCTTTGCAGGCCAGGGGGAAACGTCCCAGACGGTGGCGATCCGAGGCATTGCTGCTCCAGTCCCGCTGCCGGAGGTCAACCGCCTTCTCTCTACTAACCAGGCAGCAGAGCAGCCCCACAAATCGGGCTTGATAGGCTGGGGGCTCCTTGGTCTTTCAGTCTCCTCACCTCCTCTCTCGGCTGCAGCCTTCCATGGGCTGGCCTCCACCTCCCACGGAAGTTTCTCTTAGAAAAGTCATCAGCTGACTCCAGGGCACCAAATGCAACGGGCATACGTCTCAGTGAATTCAGCCTCCACAGCACTGGGCAAACACTCTCTGGAAAGCCTTCTCCTTTCTGAGACATGGCTCTTCTCCTCTCAGCTGCCCCCTAAACCCCTCGTCAGTCCCTGCTGCCGGCCAGTCTACACTGCCCATAAATGGTGGGGTTTTCGTGCATGCGATCTCGGGACTTTGTCTCTTCTCTCTCCCTGTCTGTGAGTGAGCTCATCAGTTTCCCTGGACTTAAACACCAGCTTCTGCTCTTGATGCCCTCTCACCTTTGCATCTGCATCCCCGACTTCCCCACCAGCCAGGCGCCAGGCACCTCCACATCTCAGAGCAAACTTGCAATTCCACCAGTCTCACACCTGCTCCTCTGCTAGCCGTCCTCATGTGAGGACATGGCCTGACCATCACTGGGTAGTCAGGTGAGACCCCTGGGAGTCGTCTGGGAGTCCTTCCACACCCTCCCCTCCTGCACTGCTTCTCCCCTCTATCAGCAAGCTCTGCTGATTCTATCTCCAGAATACATCCCGAACCTGGCCTATCTCCGTTGCTGCCCCTTTAACCCACAGCAGATCATTCCTCTGTATAGAAACCTTCAGTGTCCTCAGAACTACACCAGCTTCCGGCCAGGACCTGCAAAGCCCCATGTGCTTGGACCCCTGCCTACCCCCAGCCTTGTCCGGCCCCACTTCCTCCCTTGCTTGTTTCACGCTGGGCATACTGGTCTCTCGCTTTGCCAAACAAAGTGCCTTGCTTGTGGTGTTTCCTCTTCTTAGAACACTCTACCCCATCTGGCTCCTCATCAGACACCTTCTGTGGGGGTCATGGGGTGAGGGGTGGGAGCTAGCTAGTAGAGGGATTTAGAGGCAAGAGGTGTTGAGGCAGTGGAGACTGAAAGACCCAGGAGCAACCAGATGAGAGCCAGCTCTCCTCTTCCTTTAGGTCTCAACTTAAATGCCACCTCTTCCAAGAAGCCTCCCCTGATCACCCCACCTAAAGCAGGCCTCTGTTATTCTCTATTTCAGCCCCTTCTTTACTTTTCCGTCTTGTTCTATCGCCTCCATCAGAATGTCAGGTCCATGCGGCCAGGAATTATATATATATGCACAGAGCCTACAACACCACGCGGTACGCAGTAAGTGATCAAGAAACGTTTGTTGAACGAACAAAGAAAGCAGTCACTGCCTATGAATTAAGCGGTTCCCTGTAAGTGCAAGAGGTTAACCTGAAGGGGAAACTGAGGCTCGGCCAGGGCCCTACAACAGCTCCAGAAGGTGAGTGAAGCTAACTTCTGGTTTTCCAATGCTGTGGGATGGGCTGGGACCCAGGCCAGAAGGCACCTCACCTCCCTTTTCCAGCGTGCCAGCCACTCGTCCCTCTTGCGCTTGCTGATGTAGTAGGGGTCCCCCGCCTGGAAGGTGAGCCGCGGCATGGGCCGCTGGCGGAGGCTGGACTCCCAGCCCAAGCCACCCCGCAGCCGGCCCCGGGAGCCCTAGGACAGAGAGACGACAGAGAGACAGACTGGCATTAAGATGGGCATGGATAGTCCCGCTACAAGGGCTGGTTGTTCCTCCTGAGGGGAGACTGAGGGGGCACTCACCTCGAACACAACACAGGAGCTCTGACTCCTGGCCAGAGACGCCACCCCTGCAAGTGCTAGACAAGCCCCTATTGGGGCTGGAGGGGGGAGCCATGGGGCAAAGGGGCATGAGGCACGTGGACATGAACCACGATGGGGGGCGCTTGGCCTCAGAGCGGGACCAGCTGGCCGCCTCCTTGCGGGACTTCTAATCTCCACCCCCGTTCCCTTCCTTCTTCCGTGGGTACAGGTAAAGAGGGGGGCGGGGCCACCTCAGGATCCCCTCACACACATTCGCCAGGTTGGTCAGAGAGGTGGACTCTCTTCTAGAATCAGTATCCACAGAGCCTCTGGGGGTTGAGGAAAACACTTGCCTCCATTTTCATGGATTCGATGTTGGTCTCCTTCTGTTCTTTGCCTGTGGAGAGGGAAGAACAAAGGGACTGTCGCAGAGTTACAGGAGTGGCTCCGAGGCCCCACCTCGTGCCTGGGGTCCCCGCCACAGCGACAGGGGTCCTCCAACCATTCGGTGGTTCATGTATCAAACCTGATGGCCCACCGCGTGCCAGGCACCGTGCTGGCCCCAAGGACTCAGGGCAGGGCCTAGAGCAGAGAAGCGACCGGTGCGGGGTCGGGGGCCCCAATCCGAAGGAACAACAGAAAACCCAGGGCACGGCTCCTGGCCCACTGACGCTGTCTCAGGCACACAAAAGTGGCCGTCCAGAAACAGCTCTCTTCCCCAGAGGAGGGGCCAGACTACACAGCCTCCCCCTACCCAGGCAGGGAGCTGTCTTCTTCAATGTGTGGAGTAAGGCAGAGACGCCCTGAGGGGCAGTGGGATACAGGCCACTGGAGCAAGACTCTGTGAAGCAACTTTGTCTCTGAGACTCAGTTTCCTCATCTGGAAAATAATGATGCTGAGATGAGTTCTAAGGTCCTTCTGCAATTCTCAATATTGTGTTTCTGCTATGATAGCTACCTCTGTGGTCCATTCTCCGCCCCCACCCTGACCCCCGCCCCCACTTCTCAGGTCCCTGAGCTAAGCCTTTAGTCTAGTAGATTCCAGCTTGGATTCCAGCTGTTTCTGTGTGACCTCTGTAACCTCTCCTAGCCTGTGTCCTCACTGCATCAAGATAGGTAACCGTTCCAATATTTTTAGGTTATTGGCAGGGCTTGGCATATAATAGGTGCTCAATAAATGTCCCCAAGGCATTTCCCTGCTCCTCTTCCCTGCAGCTCCTTCACTGGGCCCAGATTCCACTTCCTGGAAGGAAATCCGACCCCCCCCCCCCCCAGCAGAAGCCCCAGTAATTCTGTCTATAGAGGGGAGTTACATCTTCCCTCTGTCCCTCTCGGGGCCCCAAGCAGGAGGGCAGCCACGCTCCTGCAGAAAATCCTGTGCTCTCAAGGTCCTCACCCAGATGCCCTTCCCAGGCCCAGCACGCACCCAGCAGTCCGGCAGCGGGGTTGGGTTAATTATGCCTTCCAGAGATTTCCACAGGTGGGAGTGGGCAAGTGAGCTCTTTTCTCACCTGGGCCTCTAAACTCCCTTCTCTGAAGCCCAGAGCACTGAGCTTGGGCCCAAATCAGGAAGGTCACTAAGGCTGGCTCACGGTAGTTGGGGTGGGGGAGCCAAAAACGGAAAAAACAGCCCCTACTTCATCTCCTGGCTCTGAAGCGGAAACCAGACACAGCATTGAAGGCCTCCTCGGCCCGAGAGAGGAAGTTTCTTTGCCTCCCTCTCACTAGAGAAGACCCGGGGCTCCTTGTGTGTGTCCCTGGGGCAGAGGCGGTCCGGGGTTACAGCGCCCCCCGGAGCCCCGGGGAGGGGACTCACGAGGGCCCTGGCTGTGAGCACCACACGGCACGTGTGCCAGCGTGCGTGCGACAGAGACGGCGCTGAATTGGCTGCCTGGGTGGGGGAGGGGGCGTGGGAGGAAGCAGGAGTGTCTGTCTTGGGTGTGCGCGGTGGGAACGGGGGTGCTAGCTAACACTTTACACGACAGGCTTTTTAAGGTATGTCTCACCCCGGCTTTCTGTCTCTTCCTCTGAGCTTCCGCTCTGCGCGGCCAGCTCCCTGGAGCAGGGTGCCCCTCCCGCCACCCGGGGTCTCTCTGCTACCCCCGGGGGTCTCCCTCCTCTCAGATCTGCACGTTCTCCTGGTGAGGCTTTGGGCTGCCAGAAGGGGGCGCCTGTCCTTGGACCAGGCTGCCACCCAGGGTCCCTTGGACCTCTCAAGCTTTTCCTATGGGGGTCCCTCCATGGCGTCTAATTATGGGGAATCAGACATTCATTCGAATGAAAGAAAATCAGGGCTGAAAGGAACTGCAGAGATGCTGGAGCACCTGTCCAGCCCCTAGATTTTGCCAATGGGGAAACTGAGGCTGGGGGTGGGGTGGGGTGGGTGTGGACTAACTTACTGCCAGTGCTAAAATCAGATTTCGGGGCTCCTGAACCCAAACCAGCTCACTTTACCCCTTACCACCTTCAGGTTCCCCATTCCCCGGCCCCCATGCTCCCCCAAACATAATTACTTTTCCTCGTGCAGTCTCCAACTGCCTTCTTTCTGGAATTTTCTCCCCGACGTATTCTGCACATGCCCACTGAGTGATATCACACACACACACTTTCCAGCCTGGCCCAGCAAAACAACACACTGGGCTGTCTCCGAATGCCACACTTGTCCTGAGTCAAGGAGGGTCAGCTGCTCTCTCAACACTCCCTCTGCGGTCCATCTGCTCCTGGCCCAGACCCAGGGTCACAGGCGGGCCAGGTGGCTGCATGCCTCCCAGGGTGGCCCTGGCAGACTCAGACATGACCCTAGAGTATCTTGGGTCCTGGGGGCAGGAGAGGCCGGGGTGTTTCCAACAGTCACCTGTCGGTCTAAGCCTATATTTGGCTGGGGCCCACCCCAAATTCCCTTGAAGAGGAACCCAAATCTCAATGACAAGGCTAAGGCCAGGCTTGCCTCAGAGGGCAGTCACTAGCCCAATGGTGAGTGTCCAATCAGAGCAGAGAAGGGCTTTGTGCTGACCCTAATCTGGTCCCTTACTAGTTTTTGCAATCTCGGCTAAGTAACTTACTTAACATTTATGAGCTCTCAGTCTCCCCATCTGAAAAATGGGGACAGTAAGAGTCTTCCTTACAGGATCACAAAGATTAAACACGAGAATCCATAAAAAGCAGGGTTTCTTAAACTTGAATACACATGGTAATCGGAATCTCTTTGAAATGTGGATTTTGATCCCACAGGTCTAGGGTGGGGCCTAGGATTCTGCATTTCTGACCTCTGAGGTGACATAAGTGGTCCATGGGCCACTTTGAGTAGTGAGGATATAGGACACTCAGCACGTAGTCAATACTCAGTAAAACAGAGCCCTATCACCACCCCTTCTATTATAATCATGGCGGTGTTAATGCTAGGAGTGCAGGAGCAAGTCCCAAGGCCACCACCTGCCTATCCAGGTGGCTCTTGTCCTGATTACTCATCGTCTCCCCTGTCTTCCTTCTTTCTCCTGGCTGCACTATCAGGATCTGGGGCACCTATGTGCACAAGACACTGCCTTAAAGTCTTCTGTTTTTCCTCTATAGGAACTAACGGAAGGGATTCCAGAGGGGATGGATTGGGTCCCCCCGCACCCCCCACCCCCGAGAAGAGACCTGGAATGAGGGGAGTAGAAGGGAGACCATGGCTAACTCACTGCCTCCCCTGGGGCCTTAGTCTCCTTCCTCCTTGGAACTAAGCAGCTGAGTGTGTGTTCTGTGTGGCCGACAGCTGGCCTGGCAGACCTGTGCCCACGCCTCCAGGCCGCACCTCACCGGTCTCAGCATCCGGGCAGTGCACGGGGCCCTCAGGGGCCCCACCGGCTCCGCGTGCCGCCCCGATCTCCGCCTCCCGGATACCTGCGGCACAGAGGAGGTCAGGGACGCCGGGAGGGTCTGCCTGCCACACTCCACACTGGGACTCTGAGGAAGGTCCATCTGATGTGTGGAAATCCCAAACCCAGGGGTCCCCTCGACACCATCTCTCGCCTCCCCTTGTGTTCTGGCGCCTGTCTCTCTCCATCTCTGCTGCCACCTCCCCCCGCCCTCGACGCCTGCAGCAGCCTCCTAACCCTGCTTCCCAACCTCTCTGTTCCATCCCAGGATGCAGAGCACAAAGTGATTTTTTTTTCCAAAACACAAAGCAGGCCGTGTCACCCCCTGAGAAGGTGTCCTCAAAGGCCTGCCCTGGCCCCGTCTGCTCTGCTCTCATCTCACACCGTTCTCCCTTGCTCTCTCCACCGCAGCCCTGCGGGCTTCTATCAGGTCTCTGGGTGCCCTGCTCCTCCCACCTGAGAGCCCGTGTACCTTTTTCCACTCCATCCCGCACCGCCCCTCACGTGGTGAGCCCCCGCTCATCCTTCTGTGTAACAGCCCAGGCCGGCTGAGGCTCCTGTCGCTGTTCCTTAGAGAACCATGCTTATTTCTCTTAGAGAACATAGCTCCCTGTATAACCACAAGCTTTTCTTTATTTTAAACTTAAAAAAAAAATTATTTTAAGTAGGCTCCATGCCCAACATGGGGCTTGGGCCCACGACCCTGAGATCAAGAGTCGCACGCTCTACCGACTGAGCCCGCCAGGCACCCCTGATCACAAGCTTTAAAGTGTGAACTTCTCTTTAATGTCTGTCTCTCCAGCTGACTGTGAGGTCCTTGAAGGCAAGAACCAGGTTTTTGTTCACGATGGTTTCCCCGGATCCTGACACACACACACCAAATGGATGCTTAACAAACGCCTATTGACTGACTCAAGAAGGAGCTCCTGAGAACAGACAGAAGCGGAGACGGGGAAATCCCAAACTAAAAGCGAACCCTTAAGGGTTACGAGTGGCTTTAGTGCTCTGGCTCCATCCCACCGGGCAGCAAGGACCTGCCCCGACCTTGCACAGCAGCTTGGTGCCCGTCGTCGTGGTGAGATCCCAGGAATCTGGGAGTCAGCCAAGACGTACCCACGGGAAGTGGCACATTTGGTGGACAGGGCTGATGGGCTCCCAGGTCCTGCTCTGGAATACCTGGTCTCTTTAATGGGAGGGACGTCGTCTTCTCCCTTTTCCTCCTCGGTTCCCCTCCACTCAGGCCCCTTGAACACTCCTGCCAAGTGTCAGGACATATCCCATAAGTCACTCGGGCAAGGGCAGGAGCCCTGGACGGTTCTGGGCCAGCCCGCCCTAAGCCCCACTGCAGAATAAAAGGGGACAGTGGAGAGGGCACACCAACTTTGAAGCCAGAGACCACGACGGAATAAATCCTGGGTCTGCCACTTACAGGCTGGGGGGTCCCCGAGCAAGTCACTTCCTCTCGTTAAGTGGCAAGTTTTTTCTGCTTTAAAATGGGGATAATAATACCTCCGGAAGACTGCTTGGAGGACTAAAACAACGAATACAGAGTACCCCAGAAAGCGCTTTGCAGGTAATGGGAACATCAAAATATTGGTTGAATAATAAATGCATGAAAGATATTTTTTAATAGATTTGGAGATGTCTTTTCCAGAAATGCTCTCAATCCTGCATGAATATTGGGTTTGGATCCACGTAAAATAAGTTATGCCAATTAATCGATGTACTCCTTCCATCATACACACTTGGAAGGAAGACTTTTTGAAATTGAAATGCACATATGCAAAAACAACCTGGCACGGCCCTGGGAGGATCAAATGTGATAATATATGAGAAAGCGCTCTGTAAACTGCGAAGCCCCGTACAAATGCTAGTTGTCCTCATTACCAACATGTTTACAGCTCGGTTGGCCCTGAAATCACTGGCTTAACCTGAAAGAGAAAAGTAGGCAACTTTCCAGGACTCCAGGGAGAGGCCACAAAGTCCGGGGAGGAGGGGGCCTGGGCTGGGCAGCGCCCGGGCCACCCCATCTGCCCCTCCCCCACCCCGCTCAGTCACAACCCTGAACTGTGGTGGCCTCAGGACATCTGAGCTGGGGAAGGCTGCCTGGGCTTATACCACCTACAAGGACATCCACTGCCCTGAAGCGCCCAGGGGCTACAGACACAACCATCCCTGAGCCTTGCAGGCCAGGTGAGGGCTGAGGGAAACTGAGGCGCGCCGCCAGCCTACGGAAGGACTGGGGTAGGTGGGGAGGGACAGCCATCACCCCAGTCCCGCTGCTGTTGGCATTCTGCAAACCCGCTGTTGCCAGATAGGGCTTCTTTTTATTTTTCCTTTACGAGAAGCCAAAGCTCCACAGATTTTTATGTGAAATTTCTTGATTTTGAAATACTGGCAACTAATTTTTTAAAAATGTTTAAAACACTGCATGGGCCAAACAAAACACGTATGCAGGCAGCATGCAGCTGGCCACCTCCAGGGCACAGCTTGGTGAGCAGACCTTCAGCTCTCATGCCTCCCGGGACCTACTAGCCCAAGTCCAAGTCTCTAACCCTCGGGAAGGTGGGTGGGGTCCTGCCGGGCCCAGAAGAAGCTGCCCCTGGGGCCCAAGACTCACTCTCTTCTGTGGGGGCTCCTCGGCCATCTTTGGGGGTGCAGCAGCCATTCTCCACAGCTCTGGAGGCTTCGGGAGGGGTCTCAGCCCCACCCTCTCCCTCTGCTGGGGCCCCGCCCTTCTGCCCTCCAGCGGGGCTCCCCTCCTCAGGCTGGGGATCACTCCGCTTCTCCAAGTCCCCATTGGGTAATAGCTCTGAGGGGCCTGAGTCCTGGGCCATGGACAGGGACTTGGAGGTCACGGCGGAGTCCTTCGGCGTGTCACTGCTTTCCACCTGGAATGATGAAGAAATAGGAGGGAGGGTTAGACCAGTGGCTTTGTCTCTCTGTGATCACCAATCTCCCTGAAGCTCTGGTGTGTTACGTGCCCGCGGTCCAGAAAACAGTGTCAGGTACGCATCCGTGCCAGCAAATGCACGCATGACTTTAATCTCAGTGTCAAGGGATTCATGGGCCTGACTCCCTGAAGTCTAGGGCTTTGTGGACTCAGCTTATGAAGCAGGAGAAGAATCCCAGCTGGTTTCACGGCCCAAGCTACCCTGGCCACCACCCCCACTCCCTGAGGTGACACAGGGCTTCTAAGCCTACGCGGCAGCCCCCTGTTAGAGACAAATGTTCTGGGGTGCCTAGCTGCCCCAGTCAGTAGAGCCTGCGACTCCTGATCTCAGGGCTGTGAGTTCAAGCTTTGCATTGGACCTAGAGCTTAACTAAAATAAATACATAAAAGAAAAGAAAAGGATAAAAAGAAAACATCAAGGACTTTTTAAAAAACAGAAACACAGGGGCGCCTGGGTGGCTCAGCTGGTTGAGCGTCCAACTTCAGCTCAGGTCATGATCTCACTGTTCGTGAGTTCGAGCCCCACATTGGGCTTTGTGCTGACAGCTCTGAGCCCGGAGCCCACTTTAGATTCTGTGTCTCCTTTTCTCTCTGACCCTGCCTCGCTCCTGCTTTGTCTCTGTCTCTCAAAAATAAATAAACATTAACACACACACACACATACACACAACAACAACACCAACAACAAATTATCCCTTGCACTGTCCTACTTCAAATCAGAATCCTTCCTCAGAAGATTCGAGTGCCACCAAATCAATTCTGTTAACCTTGGGCTGATTGACTTTTTTTTAATGTTTATTTATTTAATTTGTGAGGGAGGGAAGGGAGAGGGGCAGAGAGAAAGGGAGATAGAGAGAATCCCAAGCAGGCTCCTTGCTGTCAGCACTATGGGCTGATCTGACTTCTGTCAGCTCTTTCTGGCTTTCGTTCTGGTCTCCTAAAGCCCAGATCCAAGTAGTGACCAGCTGTCCACTGGAGCGGAAGAGTCAAAGGGGGAAACTCTCAAATATATATTCTGCTGGGCCCCCAAGCCCAGCACGGTTCTTTCCCTCAGCTCTGGACCCCACGTGTTCTCCCCGTACCCAGGACCCCAGAGAACCCCCCAACACAAGCAGTTTGCAGCTTCTGCGGTAAGCCCTCCCTGTCCTCAGGTTCCCCGTCTGAAAGGAAACGTATAGGTTTGTCCCCAAGAGTCTAAGAACTGAACTTGCTACAGTTCCAGGTAATAAGAATCCCATCAAGGGTAATCACGACTGTCCTAAGTGTCCCTGCATGGTGGGCAAGGCTCCTTCTCATCATTACCCCTTTAGAGCCACTCAACCTCCCTGAGGAGGCTCTCAGAGAATTCTGTGACTTGCTCAAGGCTACACACTTTGTAAGGACAGAGCGAGGGGATGAGAGCCTGGGGAGCCCTTTGTGCTTGGCCCTTCGGGGGACAAGCAGGCTAGGGCATCTCAGAAGGAAGGGAGGTGTCCTCTTGGGGCAGAAGAAGCGAGTTCCCTGTGCTCAGTGCTCCGCCTGCCCACGGGCACAAGGCTGCCCTCAGCACTCCAGCCGCCTGCATCCGCTGAATGCCCATGAGAAGGGCAAATGTGCCGTTAGCCTGCCAGTTAGGCAATGCTCAGGAGGGGGCCTCCATGGCCCCACCTATAAGGTGACACGCTTAGGCTAGTCCCCTGAGGTGTTTTCCATCTTTTTAAGTCTTTTTTTTTCTGTTTATAAAAGTCAGACACATATTTTATAAAAATTCAAACCACACACACATACACACACACATACACACACAAATTCAAACCACACAAAAATGAGTCTTCTTAAAAAGGCTAAAGCTCCTTTTTCTTTTTTTTTTAATAATTTTTTAAATGTTTATTTATTGTTGAGAGCAAGAGACAGAGTACAAGTGGGGGAGGGCCAAAGAGAGAGAGGGAGACACAGAATCTGAAGCGGCTGTCAGCACCAAGCCCAACACAGAGCCCAGACCCACAAACCTCGAGATCATGACCTGAGCCAAAGTCAGATGCTTAACCGATAGCCACCCAGGTGCCCCTAAAGCTCCTTTTCCAATTCCCTCCTTCCAAAATCACAGGTAAACCCTGATCAACAGTTTGGTGAGTATCTTCTAGACTTTTTTTCCCCATGCATCTACAATCATATGTGAGCTACATGTTTATACATATGTATTCACACACACATCCAGATCCAGAATTTTTTTTTCTAATAGGGTATCATTCTACCCCGTGTTCTATAACTTGCTTTTTCACATAACAAGCAGAGTGGGCACCTCTCCACACCCGTGCATATGGATCTGTCTGCTTCTATTTCACAGCTGCTCAACATTCTATTGAATGGGGGCTCCATGATTTATTCAAGCGCTTCCCTAAGAATGAGCCTTTGGGCTGATTCGCTTTAACTGTGGTGAGCCCCGTGCACTTCACAGTTCGGTGCACCTGTGTATTTCTGTAGCTCTGAGTCCCACGAGTGGGCTGGCTGGTAGAGGGCCTGCCTAAGTGTGAGTAAACAGGCCGGATTCCCTGCCAAGAGTTGTACCACTCAAGTGCACCCTGACAGCCTGAGAGAGAGCGCTTGTCTCCCTCCCCACACAGCCCAGCAATCTCCAAGGCGGCTTCTGCTCTAAGGGTCTATATCCCCAACTCTGAGCCCACTGCTGTCTGTCGAGGAACCTCCCGGGGTGGCAAATAGGGACAAGGGTCTTGGGGACAAAAAAATAAATAAAAACCCAAAATTAGAGTCTTCCCCGGACAAGGCTCCAAGCACACAGAGCAGCCTGAAGGGGAGCAGAGGGACTGACCAAGCCGTTTGCCTGGCTGAGCGGGGCAGCTTGGGGCAGGCCTGCTTCCGGGAAGGGAAGCTCCCGTGGAAGCCTGCAAGTGTATGCAGTCCTCAGAGACTGGGGGTGGCCGGAGGCTGGAGCAAGAAAAAGAGGAGGCCTCTGGCAGAAACCTAGGTTAACCTCCTCTTCACCTAGCCTTGGGCCTCCGAAGCCAGAGCCAGGAGGCCAAACACAGGGACACACATGAGCAATTAAGCCCCGGCTTTCTCCTCAGCCTCCATGTCTGAGTGTTGGCACCTACACATTCTGTCCAGGACTCAGACGGCCCTTCCCACCTCCCTGCTCAAGCCACCAGGTTCCCTGGCCTAGGATGCCCCTCCCTGGTATAAATCCTCTCACCTCTAGACAGAGTAGGGCATGTCTGGACCCCCACGGCCACCCCAACGTCCAGCTGTGCCAGGCACCACAGAGCCCTAAACATGGCACTCCCAGGACGGTGGGGTGGGGGTCCCGCTGGCCAACTCAGGCTGGGACATTCAGGTCAGAGCCAAGCTCTTACCGTGGCCGCGTCCTTTCCCCCTCTGGCCACTTGCCACCCCACAGACACCTCAAGTTGGGGCGGGCTCCCAGCTCCCCCCCCCCCCGCCCCCAAGCGGGTCGAGACAACCCTGCTGTCACTAACTTCCTGCCTGGGAACCACATGGCCTCCTCTCACCCTGGGACTCACTTCCTGTTGATTGCCGGCTCCAGCAGACAGAGCCAGGAGGACCTGCTCGAACACCCACGCCGCGCACACAGCCCTCCCAGGCCCACTCCGGAGGAACCCCGCTGCAGCAGACCCCACGGCCTCTCCAGAGGCGGGCGAGTCAGGGCAAGGGAAGCACTCTGCACAGCACCAGCCCCAGGCTTAACTCAGTGGGCTGAGATCCCGCCTGATCCCACACAGTCCTCCCCTCCTCTCTTCCCGACCCGGCCACCCTCCACTGCCCATTCTCTCTGGTTCTAGAACAGTCTGTGTTAGCCAAAGCTCTGGAGTCTGGGGAGCTGCTGACTCCCACCCAGGCCAGCCCCTGAGCCAACTCAGGAACCCCATCCCACCCCACTCTGTCCAGGACAGACCCCCTCCTCCCACCCTGACACCAGGATGCCTGGCTCGCTCAGTTGGTAGAGCATGCGACTCTTGATCTCCAGATTGCAAGTTCAAGTCCCATGTCAGTTATAGAGATTATTTACTAATAAAATCTTAAAAAAGAACTCTCCCCTCCCTGAGCCAGCAGTACACCCTCACTGGCTTCCAGGCAACTGAGCAGGTTGAAACCATCTATACGAAACCGCTGAGAGGAAGGAAGGAGGTCCACAGGCAAATGAACTGAAGTGACTGTCCAAATCTCTTGGAAGGGGTGGATGCACCCTGAAAGGGGCATCTCGGGAGAGAAGCACAGCCAGATCCACACCTGGAAGCCACCGGGAGAGCCAGAACTGCACCCTTCTGCCCCCACCTCCATACCTTCCTCCCAGCTCTCTCCTCTCCTGTCCCCTGTCACCCTTGGCTTGTCCCCTCCTGAAGGCAAGGACTTTGCTTTATCCCCGCTGGACTCAGCAGCGGCAGGGCACCTGCTGGCACTCAGTATTCCTAACCAATTCTCGATGCTCACATGCCACGCTTAGCTTACAACTCAGAACAGCCTGCTCCTGTGCCGAGAGGCAGTTTCAACTTAGTTGCAGGTCGAATGTGATTCTTTAAAATCCTGGTTTTATTTGCTTTTATCTTACAGTTGCCTTGAAAGACACAGTGGCACACCCTGAGACACCTATTTTTCCCATGGGGGTGACGGGGAGGGGCAGCAGCAGAAGCCCCTGGTCCTTATAGAAGCCACCAGTAGCAGCTGAAGGTGACAATTTCAGCTTCCTCTGCTTCTCACCTGTGGGGCTGGGGGGAGGGGCAGTAGATGTGGCCAAATAGGAATGGCAGCAGTGAGCACCCCCTCACTTCTCCCCTACCCCAGGGGGGAGGGGCTAGAGGCAACAGATTTGGGTAAAACCTGATCCTACTGCCCACTATGCACCTACTCTTGCCAGTATGCCCCGTTCTGGGTTCTTTAAACCCTGCCCACCACCTCTGGGGGTCCCTCGGAATTTGCTGACCT